CAATTTACAGACAGAAATGTCAAAAATGTTACAACTATCCCCGGTCTCCCCTACGGTACTTGGCAGGTTTATGAAAAAGAGCATTTTTGGTAAAAACTGTTGGCTGATATGAACTGTACAACACTGTGGACAGGAGAGCTAAACAATGAGCTGAACATGTTGAGAGGAAGTGTGCTGTTGGCTGGTGATTCTCAGTGGGTTTCTCACTAAGAGTGACCCTTTTGCACATCCACTCTTCACATCAATAATATATCGGTGCAGCTTTAATGCTTTCTTTAATGCAGTTTGAGTGGAACACGTTTTTTCCTCTGTGGGACACGCTTATGTGTATAATATTTGTCATTTTGAGGGATCGTGGCATGGGAACAGATGCACATGGGACCTCTCTTGCAGAGGACATTTTGATGTTGAATGAGTGCCCTATGTATTTCTAATATTGTGTTCAAGACAAAGCTCCTTCAGGGTGATGAAGTCTCATCTAATATTATCTAAACTAAATAAAGCTTTGCTAATAACAAAAACTCTTGGAGCCGTTTATTTCTGTGAATATCTACAATTATGTCTCCAAGAAGAACAGATAAGAAGTCAGATTAATACAGACAAATGACATTATGTATATTTACAGTAATACCAGCTAATCTCAGCGATTACCTCATCATTTCGCCTACTGCATAAAGCCATCCGTCTGCCATTAATAATGCTATCAACTGTTAACAGGGGTCATTTTAATCCCTTTATTGTGAGTGTATAATACCGTAGTTAAAGCTCTCTATTCTGCAATGTTGAGCTGTCCTTGTACTCACTGTGCCCTCGCCCCATTCAGTTGATTTGAATAGCCAAATGTCACTGTGACAAATCTTTGTCTTCGTTTTCTCATGTTTGAATAGGATACTTTTCAAAATCCTGAAATCAAATTCAGTGCTTTCATTTTGGGAAACTCAGCCCAGCTGTGTCTTAAAGTGCATTAGAGGCAACGTTTTCCAACCAAAGCCATCTTTGGTATTATTAATAAGAGTCAACGGGCACTTACTACAGATAACAGAATCAGCGTGGCACCATGCTGATGTGTTACAGACAAAATAGTCTCGTCAAAGCAGAAAAATAACAGCAAAACAGCTTCAGGTGGCCAAAGTGACAAGCAGCAACCTGCTCCCGCGACAAGTGTGCAATCAGTGAAAAGTCTACGCCGCTATGAGCATGACAGCAGCACATTTTCTTTGTGAGAAACAATACTTTCACAGCAACGTTTG